ATCTTGACGTCATACATGTCCCAGCAGTTCAGGTCTCTAAGCTTTGTGTGCTCTGGGTGGTCTATGCCCCTGGTTCTCAAAGTATGACCCCGAGACCAGTAACGTCAGAATTAACGGGGAACTTGTTAGAAACGCAAATTCTCAGGGCCAACCTAGACCCATTCAATCAGAAACTCTGGTGCTGGGACCCAGCCACTCAGCTGGCTTTTAACAAGCCCTCCAGGCAATCCAATTTATCATCTGAAAACTAAAAACTAGAGTGCAATTTGCATGATTACTCAATCTTCAGTACACTAAGAAAGGGCTAATTTAACTTAACAATAATTTTCAGGGAGGTGGTCAGTGCCCTTCTGAAAATTTTGGACAGATATATGAAAACTGACCTTCTGCCATGTTCAACCATTTCCCTGGCTCATATATGGGGAAAATCCGAAAGTGAAGAGCCAGCTATAGGAAACTGTAAACGCAGTGTGTTATTCTCATTCATATGAATATAACTTTTTTATATTAAAAATCTATTTAGATAGAATTACTTCTAAACGTCTTGCCATATAAAGGCAACCTTGTCAGGATCCCGAGTTACTTCTGATGTTGTGGAAGTTCACTCCGAGTGACAAAAGGAAATGGGAACGCACAACAGAAACATATTCTGCCATGGATCTGGATTGTGAATACGTACACCTGCACAAGATAAAAGTCCGCAGCCCCCTCAGAACCACAAATGGCTATTTCTAACCCATCGAGAGGCCGAAGCACACTACACTAGCGACAGTCACTGTAACACAGGCACACGCACGCCGACTGTACCTTCGTTCGTCACCGTGCCAGCCGCGGTGCTGACAAGGTGTATTACAGTCACTATGGAAGCTTGTAAAAAGGGACAAAGGGAGGAAAAGTTAGGGAAATCTTCAGCTCATGAGAATACAATGCATTAAACAGGATTTCTTTATGTAATTTCTACCTCAAAATTTAACAATGTGAAGCGAACACTTTAACACAATGTTAATGTGATGCATGACTCCTGCACTCTTCCTGTTAGTTCTATATCTCAGCGATTTTTCTAATCGAGCTATATATTTGTTATTATTCATCACAGAAACAGAGTAATAACCATGTCATATCGTAATTTAGGGAAAAAATGTAGCTGTCAATTTTTTCACAATTATAATTATGGATCTAATCATGATAAAGCAGTCCTTATTTTAACATTTCCCAGGCAAAAGACTTCACATTCAAAGAGAAAACACTTGCTAAGACAATTTAGACAATTTTCTGAGTCCATGTAATGAACTCACACATTGTTCCAGGAAAAAGAAATTTAAAGAGCTACATAGTAAGGTAAAATATGCAATACAAATACCAAAAAGGGGAGGGGGGTGTTTTGTCTCTGGTCTGTGTACTCCCAGCAGAAAAATGCAGACAGCCTGCCTGGCTGTTTCCTGTGTAAATTCCTTGTCATCTGTGTATCCAATTGTTTTAAAGTGTTTATGCAAAGATAAGGGAGTGAGCATGCACAGGGCGAAGGATGCTCTCAGAGATGTCCACACCCTGACCCTGGGAACCCTAACTGTTGCCATCCCCAGCGAGAGAAACTTTGCTGATTCGATCATGTTAAAGAGCTGGAGGTGGGGAGATTTTCCTGAATTATCTGGGTGAGCCCAATGTAACCACAAGGGTCCTTAAAGGGTGGAGTCTTTCCCAGCTGTGCTTGGAGGGGGCAGTGACCACAGAAGAATGGCCATCGAGACGGAAGACGCAGGGAGAAAGCCAGGCAGGCAGCCTCTAGGGCAGTGATGGCGAACCTTTTGAGCTCGGCGTGTCAGCATTTTGAAAAACCCTAACTTAACTCTGGTGCTGTGTCACATATAGAAATTTTTTGATATTTGCAATCATAGTAAAACAAAGATTTATATTTTTGATATTTATTTTATATATTTAAATGCCATTTAACAAAGAAAAATCAACCAAAGAAATGAGTTCGCGTGTCACCTCTGACACGCGTGTCATAGGTTCGCCATCACTGCTCTAGAAACTAGAAATGAAAACAGCCCTGCTGACACCGTTTAGCGCAGCGGTTGCCAACCTTTCGGACCTCACAGACCACGGGTTGGCGACCGCTGGTTTAGCCTACGGAGACTAATGTTAGACTTCCAAACCTCGGAACTATAAGATACATTTATCTTGTTTTCAGCCACTATGTTTACGGTAATCTGTTACAATAGCCTTAGAAAACTAAAACTATAAATTAAGTACAGACTCTTAATACAGACTTAACTTCACAATTGATAATGATCTAAATGATGATGAAGATTAAAATATAAACTCCTGGACATATTCCTCCCCCCTCCCCGCCCCCCCCATTGCATTATCTGGCAATTAATTTTTATAACTAATTTGACCATAATTTATTTAAAGTATTTAGAAGTTTTTTAAAAAGAATGTTTTAAGAAAAATAATTAGAAAAAAAAGAAAATTCTGAAATGTATTTATAAAAAGCATTTAGGGAGCAAAATATAAATTATTACATAAACTGACAACTGTAACATTTTAGAATTAAGTGTAATGAAAAAATAATTCTAATTTGTTGTGGTTGGCATAATCAGCAAAGCTATGCTCATATACTGCATCACAATAATAAACACAGGTACACTTTCATATCATATATAGCATGCTTGAAATCAGAAAAGAATGGAACATACTTAAGGTCATGTTTAGTTTGCAATCTATTACTCCAGATTTAGTAACAAATAATCATTAGTGGGTTACTTCTTTCCACCAATAAAATATTTGAAATGTTTAAACACATTACATTTTTATGCCAAAAAAAAAAATTACAGTAAACTTTACTAATTCTGGGATTTGAAAATTTCCACTAAAAACTCACTTTATTGTGTTTAGTGAATACTGACAATTTTCTCTACTGGTATGTGTGTTATTACGGCGAAGCTGGTTATCCATGCAGTTTACCCTACGGAAACCAGATACACGTGACTGGCATCACAGAACCCGCTGTCAAACTGTCTTCATTAGAAAGGTAAGCAAACTTACTAGCAATCTCTTACACTGTGTTCTCAGTCAGTACGCTCTGATCCACATGGGAGCTGGGGCCGCAGGGAGTGAGGAAGAAACAAATAAAACCTTGTAATACCGAAGGTGCTACTGAAGGTCACACTGCAGACTGCCCAGTCTCCTCTTAGGGGCGTGGGAGAGGGGAAGGGGAAGGAGGGAGGGAGTGATGCTCAAGAAAATTGCTCTTAGAATTTTGAAAAAATCCACAGAACTTATAGCATTTTCTGGTGTGGAAAAAAGTCAATACAAGGTTGGCCACCAAGGTAGAACATTATCTTTCCATTAATTCTACTTTCTGTCCTATTACTGGGAAGTTGCCACAGTTCAAACACCAATCCGCTACCAACATTTTTAATATCTTCCCCAGCAGATGCGCATGCATGTACGTACTGGGTGTGAACAGTGTCCCACGGAGAAACGTGGAGACACTCTGAGACCTAACAAGGGCCCTGGGTGCATCCGGGATACACATCACACCACGAGATCAGCGCGAGGAATACGCAAGGGAGCAGTGGCTCACAGGGCCGCTGACTCACCGTTGTCATCACAGGACTCCGACTGGAAGGAGCTGAGGGACTGCACTTCAGACAGGCTCTCCCGGGCACTGTAAGGGAGGGACGGCTTTTCCTCCAGAGGTTTCTTGGAGAGGCAGGGGTCAAGATCCACCACTTTAGCTACAAGGAAGAAACGACAGACAGGAAGCTCCATGAGGGCTCGGCCTGTGTTTTGGTCTCGGCTGTAGCCTGACACAGAGCAAGCATTACCAAGACCATCTGAGGCTTATTCAGTCAAAGAACACTTGAAATAAACATTTGAAAAACAAACAAACAAAAAAACACAGAAAACCCCACAAAAAACCCCATAGCACTCCTTGCAGATGCACAGAATAGAAATGAACCTGCCCCTGGATATCATTAGACAACCTGGGGAACTAAAATTTTGTTTCAAAATGGTACATACAACTTTTTACATTTTTTTAATCCTCACCTAGAGGTACATTTTTATTGATTTGAGAAAGAGAGGAAGGGGTGAGGGGAACCATGTGAGAGAGTTGCCTCCTGTACTCACCCCAATCAGGAATTGAACCTGCAACCTAGGTATGTACCCTAACCAGGAATCTCAATCAGATGCCTCCCATACATGCCCTAACCAGGGACTGAATCCACAATTTGGGGATGTGTCCTGGCTGGGAATCTTGGTGTACAGCAAGCATGTCAAACTCGCGGCCCACAACGAATATTTTTGTGGCCCAGCCAATATAATGGCATGTAAGAAACATTTTAATAAAAATTTCATGACTTAAATTTTTACGATATCCTTTAACATAATTATTAATAATGAACTACAATGTTCCCTAATGACTGATTACTATAATCATGTTGCATTCATTTCCCTATGCACCTTTTGCGCAGACTCATTTATTTCAGCCCTCTGTATTCAGTATGTCTCTATCAAAATAAACCTACGTTTCTATGAAGATTGAAGCTTTTGTTTTTTTGCGGCCCACATAAACTGAAACCTTGTTTATTAGGCCCGTGTTAGCCTTTGAGTAGGACATGCTTGGTGTACAGGATGACACTCCAACCAAATGAGCCACACAGGCCAGGACCATAGAGCTATTATGAAAGCATCATACATGTTAGGCCATGAATATAAATACCAAATGAGCAAAAGCAGGTTTACAGTTGTGAATGACACTCTTTTGAGTCAATAAAGCTATTGTAGTAATCATAACCTGCAACTCTTTTTCCTTACGAACTGTATACCTACTTTTGCCCACCCTGTATTGTCACTTTTTCTGGTCCTGTTTTTAAAAAATCCTACCATACAAATACCCTCTCCATTTTTTTAATCATATAAGCCCCCCTCCCCACAAATTATAGTTGAGGACCCATATCAATTACAGAAATGACATCTTTCCAGACTAACTGGAACATGACCAGATTCCATTCCTGAATTAAAATATGGTCACAGCTACAATGCTCAGCCAGGCCCCAAGGCACCCGGAAAAGATGGTCAAATCTTTCCAAGGTCTCCGGAGCCTGTCTGCGCTGACAAGGACTCCACATCTGGGCTGGAAGCACCGAGGCTCTGGGAGGGACCGGCAATCTCACGGTTCATTTCGTTCATCTCGGCGACACCTCCCTGAGAGGGGAGCGCGGTTCCTACCGTCATAGTCGAAGTCCCAGCTGGGCTTCTGGATGGAGTCGCTGTCAGAAGGAGAGTTGGACGGGGGCGGGGGCGGCAGGTTTGGGGCGACACTGCAGACGGCCACTGCCTTCCGGTGTCCGTGCACAGACTCGGGGTTAAAGGTGCTGAATTCGGGGTGCTCGGGGATGGCAGAGCCTTCGAAGGAGTTTCGGTCCAGATTGTTCCTGGAGTCGCTGGGAATGCTTGGCGTGTAGGAGATGGGGCGGACGGGCACCTGGGGGGGCGTGTCTGAGTAAATGTTTTTATTTAGTTTTGCATCGAAATACGGCCTAGGCATGAACGCCGTGGTCGGTCCCAAGTGTTTGTCTTCGGGTTCCGGCGGGTGCTGCTTCTTCTTCTTGGCACGGACCATCTTGCGGCAGAGGACAAACACCAGCACCAGGAAGAAAATGCCGATGACGAAGACGAGGATGCCTATGCCTTCGGCCAGCCCGATGTTCCAGGGGGTGGACACGTACTGGTTGGGAGCCGCGTCCTCGCAGTGCCTCCCGCGGAACTCGCGGCTGCAGTTGCAGTGGTAGGAGCCGTGCGTGTTCTCGCAGAGCGCCCCGTTCCGGCACGGACTCCCCGCACACTCGTCAACGTCGCTCTGACACCTGCCGAGAGAGCCAAGGATGAGGAGCGACCTTCGCCGTGTGAGTCAGACCGTGGCAGGCCTAGGATTCTTAGAGACCAAAGACTAACCGGATCCCTTCTTAATAACATAAATACAATCAAACACATAACAACCAAAAACACACTATCCACAAGGATAACTACGACCGGAAACCTTCCGGGGAGTAATTAATCATTTGTGTCATACTTGGTGCATTTGGGAGAAAGCCACGAGGTCAAGCCAATATTTAACTGCCATGTTGCTAGGACTCAACAGGTGACTAAATCGAACGCATTGGTTGTTTGTTTTTATTCTGATCCAGACATTTATAATGTGCATTTTGATACATGGTAGGCTATAAACCGTTCTAATAGGCTTAGATTAAATTTCTAAGAAAAATCCTCCCATAGAAGATTATGAGAGTTCCATAACACACGTGAAAAGCTAGAAAACTCGGTTTTCCATTTGTAAGTGTTTTTCCCTGTTGAACACCCCACAGCTCCTCACCCTTACGGAATGGTTCACATTTGCACCTGTGCATACTTCCCTGATGCTTCTCAAACCCTTCCCCCTCTAATAAAAATGCTTCTACTTACTACCCCCACACTGACCTGGCATTAGGATTTTGACTACTGAGACATATTTGTCTATGATATTAAGTATTAATGGGTTAGAATTGGGAAAGTTAACATAATAACTAAGATGATGTGACCAGCAGCAAAATTCAAGACTACAACCTCCATGAGAGCAAACCCCCGTGGGAATACCTACATGCAGGTCACACTTAAGGCCTGATGGTCAAAGCTCATCTAAACGGGCACTTACGAAGAACATCCATTGAGTCATTTTCTAAAACTGAACTGATAAGAAGTCTAAGGAGAAATGGCATCTGGAACAAAATCTACCTCCTTCCAGGTCTACAACAGGCACCTCAGTGCCTCATTTTTCTTCCCTGGAAAAAAATGATCACCTATTAGGATTATGGTAAGGATTATGAAAGATAATGAGAGAGCTGGAAAAGGTTTCTAGATGCTGGAAACGGTTTCCGGATGCTATCCAAGTGTCAGTTATAGCATATTATGAGAAAATGTCATTATCGCCATCCTCAAAGACAGCAGACCACAGGTGTCTGCTTAAAAAACATAATAGTCTCACTCATTCCACACACATTTACTTCCTGCAAAAAAGCCACACCTAATTTGTTTATACGTACCTTGAAAGTATGGAAGTAGGTTTTTTCCAAGAATTATATTATATTCATTTTCTCGTTTTTTGTTTTTGTTTTTTATTAAGAGCAACGAGATAATTTACACCAGGAGCTAATATGATAATGATCAAATTCTGAAGCAGCAGTGTCCAAATTACTAGGGTTTATTGGCATCTGCTACTCCGGGTGACATTACAGAGAGCTGGACATAAAGTCACGAAAGAAGGCAGTTACCTTTCTCCCCTGAAACCTGAGTCGCACTGACAGACGGCACCGTCCAAGCTGTCGAAGCAGGTCCCGCCGTTTTTGCAGGGCTCGTCCTTGCAGTACGGACTAAGCTGGCACCTGAGGAACAAGGAGCAGGCGTGAACTGAATCCTCCTGCCGCCGATGAATACCGCGAGGCAGGCAGAAAACGTTAACAAAGGCATGCAGACGTTTTACGGACACGATCGCCTTTCAAACGTTTTTAGATACCAGAATTAATTATAAGAGCTAAGAAAGAAGGATACACCTACCTCTTTCCAGCGTATAGCCCTCTGCACTGGCAGATGAAGTCTCCATTGTCCACAAGGCAGGTACCGCCATAAAGGCAGGGGTTGGAGGAGCAGGGGTTGACGCTCACCTCACAATAGGTCCCGACGTATAAGGCAGTGCATTTGCAGTAATAACCTACATCAGCACGAGGGAACAAAAACGTCCTATCACTCAAAAACTCAAGGACAAGTCTTTGGACACTGGGCTTTTTTTTTTTTTACTTTTATGTTTAGGTGAAGATTTAGATCTCTAAGACCTGTAAAAGCTAGGACCATTCCCATTCCCTCTAGGTAAAACGCTGTGTAGATCCACAAACCACTGCTTATTTTGGTAGAACCAAAACACAAAGAATGAAAGAGAGAACTCGTCATTAGCTTTAGTTCATCAAGATATAAGATGACTCGGCCAAGCACCCAGAACAGGGAAAAGGTAGTCCTGTATCTGGGTGGCCACTGGGTTGACAACACTTAGTACTTACATCGCAATTTATGTGCAGCTCACAAGCTTTTATGGATTAGATGAGTTGGTAGTAAGTGAAAAAGTACTGTGAAAACCATGAACTACCATTTTAAGAAAGGTGGTCTTCGAATTTGTATGAAGGAGCAAAGATAAATGCCAGACCCCTCACTTTGCTAAGACTGCGACGGCTAGGAATTGTGGGGGCTACTTCCAATGCCCGGCCTTGGCCATAGAAAAGTGGCCCTTCGGGCTCAGAGCTGTAGGAGCCACTGTCCGGTCTCCCAGTTCCCTCCTCCTGCTGCTGCGGTGATTTCAAGAAAATGCCTCTTGGTCCCACCCCTGACGACAGTGAGGACAGCCTCCTGGGACACGTGATGGGAGCACCACGGGAACGCTGTCCGAGTGTTACTGTGGGGATAACCTGGCCTACTCTTTGCATCTAGATTGCAGACTCGTTCCAAAGAAAACAAGAGGAAGCCAAGTCTTTTGAAATCCCACTTAATGAAAGGGTTATTTTGATTTCTGCTCTATTCATTACACAAAGCTCTATTTATTGAGCACGGCGGCTGTCCTTTTCATAACCGCGCTCCGTTACCGGTAAGCGGACAAACGGGTCTAGGATGCAGAAGCCAGACCCTCCACTAGGCCAGGGCTTCGAGACAGGGATGGGGCACTTCAGGCCTCTGGAAAAGCAGTCCTCCCACCTACAGGTGGCAGGAGCAACAGTCCCCTGTGCGGGGCCATCGGATGAAGGGGGCATGGCACGCAAGGAGAACTGAGCGGTACCCATTCTAAATCCTGCTGGGTCAATGTCTGGGTTTGGAAGGAGAGTTCCGAATTAGCTGTGGTCCCAGGTACGGAATGAGATGTGACTGCAGGAGCTCAGCAGGCAGACACTGCTCCTGTCAGCCTGGCTGCTCTGCTCTCCTGTTTATAACACACACGCTGCGATTCCTACCCTGATGCAAGACCTGACCATAGGATTGGAATAAAGAGGAAAAACAGCCCTAGCTGGTTTGACTCAGTGGATAGAGTGTCAGCCTGCGGACTGAAGGGTCCTGGGTTCAATTCTGATCAAGGGCACATGCCCGGGTTGTGGGCTCAATCCCCAGTAAGGGGCATGCTGGAGGCAGCCTATCAGTGATTCTCTCTCATCATTGATGTTTCTATCTCTCTCTCCCTCTCCCTTCCTCTCTGAAATAAAAAATATATTTTAAAAACAAATAGAGGAAAAACGAAACCACATGTAACATTTAAAAGCTGACGACATCACAAAGCCTACCTCCCGCAGGTGAGGGGTTGCAAACGCCTCCGTTCTGGCAGGGGTTACTGGAACAATCTTCCGTAGCCGTCAGTACGCACCCAGGAGACACGTCCACCCAGTCTTCAATGTGGGCGTAGCTTCTGGGCTTGTGATTTAAAGGGAGCTCCTGCCCATTCAAATAAATGGAGTCCATGCAACCCCGGAAACCATTCCCGACTTGGGGGCTCCTTCCGTGCCTCGTGCCTTGCTGACGGATGTGGCCCCCGAAGAACACGTGGTTGTCCAGGTTCAGGGTTTTCAGAGTCCCCGGGGCCGTGCCCGACGCGGTGTGGACCTGGTCCAGGACCAGGCGAGCATAGTTGCCGTTCACCTCCAGGGACACCGCATGCCACAGCCCGTCGTTGACCTGGATGCTCTGCACAGACACGATGCCAGGGCCGCTCCCGCAGTCAAACTTGTACTGCAGTCTTCCGTTATGAATCTACGGCAGAAACAGGGACGGTTCGCGTTACTCTCACAGAATCTCCGATTATGAGATCAAACTCTGAAGGAGGGGTATGTGGGCAACTGAAGGCAGAAACTTAGGAAGGCCTTGGGTTTAAGTATTACAGACCCCACACTCATGTGTTCCTTGTACACCTAACAGCAGACCTTTGGGGATACAGAGGTCAGCTGTGAACTGCACATCCAAAAAGCATCATGGAAGGGACTAATACTCAACGAGTAACTGAACAACAACCCAAAATAGCACTGAATTATATCAAAAGTCAAAAGCTAATCACACTTAACAAAATAATAAGGGTGGGCAAGATAATGATCACTTTAAGCTTGTGTAGGCTCTCACTTCACAATAAGATGTAATAGCACTGAGAGTTTAAATGTTAATGGTCACATGCACCTAAAAATGTTTGTAAGCAACAGAAGTAAGTCTCCAAGCTACTGCACAGCAAAAAGAGCTTTTCAGCCCACCGTCGAAAGCCTACGAGGTATCAATGAACTATTTATAAGAGGAATTCAATCATTTTACTTTTTTTTTAAATGGACAATGTGAACATCAAGTGGAATATTTTTAAAGCCTCCCATAGTCTGTGGAACAGACACGAACCTCCAAGATGCTGTAGTCGGTGCCACGAGCATACATCACGACCGCGTGCGAAGAATACGTCCGGAGCCTCATGGTCAGCTTCATCTCCAACTTGCTTTCAATTTCCTTCAGCCGGTATTTCACAAAGCTGTTTCCGGTAAATGTTACAGACGAACTGCCTGTGAACCACAGCGAGGAAAAATGAATCAGAACCAAACTGCGGCATATTTTAAACATGTGATTTCATCCGCCCAGAGACTGACCGGTTTTTTTATTTAAGATTAGAACATTATCAAGTTGAATTCAATGGGGAACGTCTAGCTACTTAATGAACGGCACAGTGTAACTACAATAAAAAATGTATTTTAGATGAGACTATGGTATCAAAAAGAAATGAATTCTGAAATACTTTAAAAAGTAACTATAAAAATGTTCTATGTAAAATTACTATAAGGCACGTTAGGAAAATATTTGCATATCCTCGAGGTGTTTTGGGAAACCTTTGAAGGAAGATATAAAACAATCCCGATTCTCCAAAATGATGAAAATACTATCCATCGCCAGAGATGGAAACTGTTGTGTAAAATTATGTACAACTGACACAACAGAAATTAAATTTCAAAGTAAAAATGATACTGTTAAATAAATTAAAAGATCAATATTATACAGACAGCAGAATGCAGATAATGTTAACACTGCAACACACAAACAGCTCCATATGTGAATACAAGAGACGGACAAAATAACCCAGACAACCAGGCAAAGAGTGCGAACAGGCCAGTCACAGGAGGAAAAATGCTCACATGCAACGGACAAATGAAGAGACAACTCTCACAAGAAGCCAGGGAAATGCAAAGTGAAATAATTAGGTAATCATTTCATGCCCATTAGAAGGGGGTATTTATTTTTCAATTGAAAACCTTTAATATTGGCAAGAGAATGGGGAATGGGACCTTCACACAGGACTAGGAGAACTAGAAAGTGGTACAACTTTTTACGAAACTAACGTAATGGTACATTTAACAATGTTAAATGTAGTTTAGCCTTTAACCATAGTCCTAGTTTTAGAAACGGAAGCACCAATGTGTAAGGATGCACACGAAGGATTCCTTTTTTAGCAGAAGAAAACATTTTAACAACCTAAATCTCTGCACATAAGGAAACTGTTTGAACGAACAACAGGAGACACTTGACAGCTATTAAAAAGCATCAGGTTTACACACAGCAACTTGCAAAGATGCCCATGACTTACTGCTAAGCAGGAAACAGCAAGCGGTAGAGGACTGTGTAAGGTACTTTTTAATTTCTTTTTTAAAAAGAGAGGGTGTGAGAGAGAAAGGACAATGAATCTGTCCACGTGGGACTGTATGCTCACACGAGCACTGATGATAAAGAAGGAAACATGCCACACTATTCACTCAGGTGAGCTGCCATGTAACAAGAAGGTAGCTTCTCTGTCTGGCATGTTATGATAAACATAATTTACAATACTTTCCACCCCATTAAAGAAGAAAATGATTAGAAACATGGAAGTGACTTTTTAAAATAAAAGCACGCCTAATCACTGGACTCTCACCTGGGCACTGCCCAAACTTGCCACCTGGACAGACACAGGTGTATGTCTCCTCCCTGGGGTCAGCGATACATTCCGATCCCTCGGGGCACGGACTGTCCTCACACCCATGATGGATGAGCGGGCATCTTCCCTCTTTAAAAAAAAAAAGAGGGGAGGAGGGAGAGCTAATTAATAGGGATTTCAAGAAAATGATCTTTAATGTGCAGCCTTCAAAGAGTGTATGTGAAATCATGTGTACCCTCTAGTTTCTTCTTTATGTTAACCTCCCCGGAGGACATTTTTTCCATTGATTTTTAGAGTGGAAGGGAGGGAAGGAAGCATGGGGGAAGAGGGAAGACAGAGAGAGAGAGAGAGAGAGACAGAGAGAGACAGAGAGAGAGAGAGAGAGAGAAACTGATGTGAGAGAGACACATCAATTGCTTGCCTCCTACATGCACCCTGAATGGGGCTAGGATTGAACCCTAACCCAGGTACATGCCCTTGGCCAGGAATTGAATCTGAGACCCTCCGGTGCATGGGCCGACGCTCTAACCACGAAGCCACGTTGGCCAGAGCACGTACCCCCTATCTGCACACACGCACGGGTGTTACCTTTGCAGAGACACACAGCCGTCCTGCGGTGGCGGGGCGTCACGAAGCTCAGCCTGGCCGTGCTGTGCGTGGACATCACATTTTCGTCCACAGACACCTTCTCGTCACAGAACCTCCGTGGGCAGTCCAGCCCCGCACAGCGCCTCTGGAACACGTCCAGGATCCTGACGCCAACGAGGTCCTCGATGTCGGCCACGGAGGCGTTGATCTTGTGCAGGAGCTGCCTGGACGACACCTGGGCCCCACCCGGCTTCTCTATGAAAAGTAAGACGTCCAGGTGGGGCTGGGGCTCCGCGGGCTGCAGGCTCACGATCTGTATGTCGCCCCTCCTCACACCCAGGACGTTCCTCAGCGCCCGCTGGACGTTGCGCCAGTAGTCCCCCACGAACTCCTCCGGCGTGAGGTTGGCGAAGCGGATGGCGATGGTGTGGTTCAGCATCTCCTGCGTCACGGGGCGGACGTGCACGGCGATGTCGGCCACCGTCGTGAACCTCCCGTCGGTCACGCTGACGTTGAGCAGGTACTGCCCCAGGTCCAGCTTCTTGTGCGCGATCAGCTTGCCCCCGGCGCTGGAAACGGAGAACAGGCCGTCCATCTGCGGATCGAGGCTGTAGGTCAAAGTGTCGTACACGTCCTGGTCTGTGGCGTGAATCTTCCCGATGACGCCGCCCGCGTATTCCTCGCCGACCGCGGTGATGAAAATCTCCAGGGGCAAGATCGCAGGCGGGTAGATGCTCTCCTCGATGACCATGAGGTCCACGTAGGTCAGAGACGACAACTGAGGCTTTCCGTTATCGGCCACCTGGGAGAAGAGGAAAACAAGAAATCGCCACGGTCCAGATCACTGTTCACAACTTCGTAATAAAAATGTATTTGCATTGCTTAAGTTCTTAAAAATGACCAATTATTAGGTTCTTTTTTTCTCCCCATTAGAAGCTTATCGATATCTATGATAAAGTAACCAAATGAAGCAACGGGCCCCAGAAATGCATGGAAAAAAAATGAAGGCAGGGCGGAACACAAAGACCATAACTCTATACATTTTGTTGTCTTCTCATGAAATGTGAGCTGTTTACATACAAGAAAGCAGCTCTTCTCCAGGAGCCCACAAGAGAGTCCCGAAGGAAGGCGTCAGTACCTTCACGCGCAGTGAGTAGTGATCTCGCACTTTCCTCTCGATGGCGGCTGCGGTCAGGAGGACGCCTTGCTGGGTCACCTCGAACGCGCCGTCATCGTTTCCGCTCTCGATGGTGAAGAAGAAGGGGGGGCCGTTGTGAGAAGAATCCTTGTCGGTCACCACCAGCTGCAGCACACTGAAGCCCACAGGCTTATTTTCCTGCACAGAAAAACAAAATCAAAATAAACCCCACAACTTTCAACAAAACCAAAATCTGTTTCTGTTTGTTTGTTAATCCTCGTCCGAGGATATTTCCCACTGATTTTTAGGGAGAGTGGAAGAGGGAAAGACAGAGAGAAAGATTGATGTGAGAGAATCACATTGGTTGGGTGCCTTCTGCCTGAGTCCCGACCAGGGCCCAGGCAACCAAGGTACGTGCCCTTGACTGGAATCGAACCCGGGACCTTTTGGTCTGCAGGCTGGACGCTCTATCCACTGAGCCAAACCGGCTCGGCAACCAATATGTTTTTTAAAGCAATACTAAGTTGGATAGAGCATTGGCCTGTTGGCTGAAGGGTCCCC